TATTCAACCGCGTATGGGACAATTTTCAGTTTATTCATCGACCACATCAGAATTGCCTATAAAATCGATTATTTTACCATTACCAACGAAATTTACTAAAGGTATAATTATATATCCAAATTTATTTAATCAAATTATTATTGGACCAACAGCTGAAACACAACATGATCGATCTCAAGCACCAGTTAAATCTGATACAAAGAATATATTATATAACAAAATAATTGAATTGATACCAACATTTTCAAAATTAAATTATCAACATATTGGATCTTATACAGGAATACGACCAGCTACAGAATATCCTGATTATCAAATACAATCATATAATGATTTACAATGGATATGCTGTGGTGGAATACGCTCAACAGGATTATCATCATCATTAGCAATAGGAGAATATATTTGTAATAAATTAAATGAAATGATTCATATAAAACATGAACTTGTTTGTGAAGGATATTCATCGGAAAGATATAATCATTCATTAGAACAATTAAAATCAATATTTATTTTGACATCAAATGGATTACAACCGAATTTAATTGTAAATGAATTAAATGTTTTAACAACAACAACAACAACAGGTGATATACAATTAGGTGAAAATATGAAATCATTAAATTTTAAAATAGATTGTGCTGGTGAAATTTTTGATATTTCACATTCGTTATTAAAACTAGCATGGATAACAAAATCCTTAGAATAAATTGAAGATTCATGATATATATCATCCTTTTTGTTTGTATTCTACAGACGAATTTTTTCTTAATTTACAATAAAATTCTAGTGATTATAAGAGTGTCACAAAAGTTTGTCTGAAAAGTTTATGTGAATAACTCTCATGCAGGTCAAATGATTTTAATGTTTTCTTTTTAATAGTATAATGGTATATTCGTTTAAGTTTTATTTCATATAACTTGGTTTACAAAAAAAAATGTTCAAAAGGATTACCACCAATTGAACTACGTAAATTTCTCCTTTTGAAATCTTTAATAAAGAAGTTGTTAACCCAATCTTTATGGAAATAAAATGCGAGTATGGATGTGACCATGATTTCTTGAATAGGTGAAGAGAAGTGCCACATGTTACACACGCCGATATTCTCACTGACACAGGCAAAGAGACTCACACTCACACCCATATTAAATAAATCCTGCAACGCGTTCACTGATGAATTGATGAGAAAAGAGCACGAAGAAAGTCGTTAAATTTGTGTTTGACTTCCTACGAATTGTAATGTTGTATCGAACGATGGTAGAGAACAGAAGAACAAAATCACATGAAAGAAAATTGGACAAGAAAGTAATAATAAAGGATCGATTCGGTTATTCTTTTGATTCTATGATGAAGCTGGATCATCAAATAGATAGAGAAAATTATGTTTTCAACCCTTCAGATAGCAACTTTGTGAATGATACAGTGAGGGCCAAAAAAAGCGTGCACTTTTTTATTTTTACACGTAAACGAATAATAAGGATATTCTAAAAATGTTCTCTTATATCTAATCTTGTAGAGCTTTTTTCACTGATCATTTTGGCAAAAAAGCTTTTTGATTTTCATTGAGTAATGACAATGTTATAGTCAAAATACTAAACACTGTAACATAAAGTAGGGAAAAAGTTTAGCACACCTTTAGTATTTGGCTAATTTTTACGTTATTTCACAACATCTGAAAGATGTTTTCTATACCATTCGATGCAGAATTTAATGGGCTACATTTTGGTAACAAGCACTTATACTTATATTGCAGTTAATTANAAACAAGAATTCTACTCTGTAATATCCAAGTATAGTTTCTCAAAAGATTTAACTTGTGTTTTAGAGAATGGCTAATAAAAGAAGAATCCGACAACATCATCACAAAAAGTAATAAAAAGCGTTTTTGTAACATGATAATGTCGGAAAAAGGCTTCTTCTTAATCAATACTTTTTCATTGTGTTCTGACGATTCCGAATTCAAATTGAGTGATGCCATACTCGAAGCATTATTCCGAGGTACTCATTTAATACAAATCTACTTTTGAATCATTTTTTATTTAACACAGTAACCATGCTCAATCATGAAAAGTCTCATGTTCACGTGCAAAAGCTTAAATTGGCCATGGCTTGGAAAAAATTCGATTTGGTCGTCTCAGACATATTCAATGAAAACAACAAAAAATTGTGGACAGTGGGCACTAACAGAGAAGAGAATATTTGTTTTTGACTTTTACTTAATTTCAATAGGATGCTCAACTGGATAGTGCTTTAAGTCATGCAATACAACATGACTCTGTACAGTTTGTCGAACTTCTCATTGAACAAGGTGCATCATTTGATCGTCTTCGACGATTGATCAATCTTGATGACTTATACAAGAAAGTGAGTGAGATTCTGCAGAACTGATGTATAATTTTGCATATTGATAGAAATCTGGCCTACCATTATTCGATCAAGAAACCTTACATACCGGTAACAACAAACAACAAATGTGTTACGAACAATATCTAAACATCGAAGCTCCGAAAATAACTAAATCTCTCGAAGTAAAATAATCTCATCAGTCAAGTTCAAGAAAATCATAGTTTTTCTGTTTCAGGAAAAGCAAGCGGCACATCAGAGTACGAGAACGAGCATGGTTATAAATATTGTTTCTGACTTTTACTTTCAATTCTAGGCAGTATCGATATGTATGGCAGTATTGAAAATCCCATTAAACTAGAGGAAAATCTGAATGGATTCGTTGTATTCAACGGAGACGCTGCTGTTAGACAAAATGGCTACATAGGACAAGTTTCGATAGTTTTTTCAGACTCTCGCAATACATCGATGACTATGGACATATCAAATAATATAGTCCTATACGTCATTTCGCCAGCATCGAATCTTAACTCTTTTCAAGTACTCCATATGCAAAAGATATCCGAGAATGATTTTGAACATAAGCATAACACAGCAATACTTTATTTAAACAACTCCAATGTTTACCTGGAACAAGGCCAATACTTAGCTATTGGCTTCGACAAGAACTCGCCTTCGCCATGCTACTTGGATGGTCCGAGTTTGTGTTATTCACTTAGCCTCGACGCAGTGAATGAAGTATATTCGACCAATGCTTCGATTAAATTCAAGAGGAGTGATAGGAAGATAGCTATTAGCTTCCAGCTGATTCCCACATCAGGTGCGATTATAACTCTTCAACCGTGTTGATTTGGTTACACTCGTAAGACTTTCACAAAATAGTATCATTATATAGATCGGATAAAATCTCTCATAACTGAATAGGGCACTACTATTAAATCAATCGAGATTTGAAAATTCTATTTGAATATAAATGTACACGAAAGTCAATCAATTGTTTGTTTAGAATTCATTTGTGATATTTTTTTGTGGTCAATATTTGCTGCTAACCTTAATATGTCCATATGCTTATGTTCACACAGTCCAGTACGTCTTTTCTTATTTTTTGAATCATAAGCAAATTCGTCTTTTATGATTGTACTATAGAACACCATTGTTGCTTCTCTCGTGGCCAGTAAAATCTATAAAAAAGCAGCTGAATTGACCGAATCCACAGAGCAAAAACGAGAATATCTTNGTGTGTGGGTGGGGGGTGGGTGGGGTGGGGTGGGTGGGGGTGTGGGTGTGGGGGGGTGTGGGTGTGGGTGTGGGTGTGGGTGTGGGTGGATGTGAGTATAGGTCTGGGTGGGTGTGAGCGTGGGTCTGGGTGGGTGTGGGTGTAGGCGTAGGTCTGGGTGGGTGTGTGGGTGGATGTAGTATGAATAAAGACAATACCAACCCCCAACCCCACCCACACACTCAGACCCACACTCACACGCACACACAGAAACCCACGCTCACATCGACACCCACACATACCTACACTCATACCCACACTCATACCCACACCCAAAACAGACTTCCATTGGTTATGAAAATATTTATTGTTGATGTTTGAAGATTAAAGAAATATCGTTTCGAACGTATCCATTAATTATGTATCATCGAGACTAGCCGATTTAATATAAGGACAGAAATAAAGCTATTAATAGTATAACAATTGAGGGTGTGGGATAAAAGGCAACGGATACAGTTATAGACACGCATACACCCTTCAAAAAATACGCTACAACCAATACCAGAATCACCTATATAATTCATACAATCATAATTTATGTATAAGAAAATATAATGTATTGTCATCGACTTTCATTCGCTGATAAATTTTGGAGAATGTGTATTTATGCTATGAGTCGAAATAGGCAGATACTTCTCACACTCAAGGTTGTTGTCACGTGGTTTTGATTCGTTTTGTATGTATATTTACGAATTGTCTTTTCTTCATAAAAATAGAAGATAAGTTTTCATTTATGTTGCTGTTCCTTTGCCAAGTGAGATAAGGATAGGCATAAATTGTCACTTGTCTGCGATATCGCAAAACTTTTCAGATAAATACTTCTTTGTATTGAAATTAAAGTAAAAAACCGTATGTGATAATGTATCGTACGACGACATCAGTTGTAGAAGTCGATTGTCGTTTGAATCGTGTTCAAGACGTAGAAAATATTCAGTTGATTTGGTGTGATGCATTTTGCACTGATACAGTGAATATCAAAAATATGGAAATAATTTCCGATATACAAAATACAAAAGCGATGCTTAGTGGGTTAATGGGATCAGTAAGATTCATCGACAATAGTGAAGAATGCATCGAAAGTATCAAGTCAACAGACAACAATACCAATATTATATTAGTTATATCAGGATCATACGCCTCTACGGTTTTGTCTGCCGTGCATAATGTTCAATCATTGTCATTTGTATTCATTTTTTGTCAATCAGCCAATACTTACTCAGGGTTACTGTCACAATATAGTAAAATTGTCAGTATCTGTGCAAAACAAATAGAACTACAGATAGCAATATCTAAAAAGATAGATCTTCTGGAGCAGCAAGCTTTACTATTTATTGCTTTCAATCAACAACAAAAATCTACCAAAGATTTGACAGAAAACACAATGGAATCGGTGGTGTTTATCTTTAATTCGGTGTTACTGGATATACTCAAACGAATGTCAGCCGATGAATATGCTAAACAACAGTTGATTGATACCTGTGAAAAATATTATTGTAATAGTAAATATGATTTAAACATGATTGAACATTTTCGTGCAACCTTTAAACCTGAAGATGCCATTAAATGGTATACAACCAATTGTTTTCTATTTCGTTTATTAAATCAAGCATTACGAACAGAAGATGTTAATTTATTATTCGCCTTTCGATACTATATTATCGTTTTATGTAAAGCCCTTGCGGATGAGAAACAAAAACTATCATCGAACACTCATTTAAAACTTTTTCGAGGTCAAAAACTGGCTGTGACTGAATTTGAGTCTCTCCAAAAATGCATCGGCACTTATATAACAACAAATGGTTTTCTATCGACATCATTAGATGCAGATGTCGCCCTGATGTTCGCTGGTCATGGTGATCCTTGTCCTGAATCATACTGTATCATTTTATTCGAAATTCGAGTTAATACATCAGTTGAATCCATCATTTTTGCTTCGATCGATAGTGAGAGTGATTTTATCGACGAAAGGGAGGTTTTATTTAGTTTGAATACCGAGTTCAAAATTGAATCAATTGATTACGATGATCAACGTCAATTGTGGATAGTACGCATGATTGCCAGTACTGATGGAAGTAGATATGTGAACGATTTTTTAGAATCAGCAAGGACCGAAGAAAAGAATATTTTTACACCATTAGCTTATTACGGACACATCATCTGGTACGAGTTTCAACAATTAGAGCAAGGTGAAAAATATTTTCAAACTCTCATCAAAACATTACCTGCGGATCATCCTGAACTTTCGATAATTTATTACGAACTAGGTTCTTTATACCAAAAGAAGAAAGAGTGGTTTGCAGCATTGCAAAATTTGACATATGCTCGCGATTTATTACCTAATTCGGAAAACAAACACAATGAACTGATAGCGATGGTATGGCTAACTATGGGTGAAGTGTATAGTGCTACAGGTGATTTAGACATGAGTTTAGATTATTTCCAGAAAGCATTATCTATATGGAATTCGAACCATTCATATCTTAGAAAAGCTCGAACATTAGAATGCATCAGCAAAGTGTATGAACTCAAGAATCCTAAACACTATCAAGAGATTATCCTTGATAATTAGAATAAAGCATTAGATATATATCAAAGTAGCCTATACATGGATAAAAAGAAGGACAAGAATTGTCTCCAAAACATCGGTCATTTTCATGATATCGTTGGTGAATATGATCGTGGCTTGGATTACTACAAGCAAACACTAGCAATGCAGCTCTATCAATCCTGTGAGGATACTGAAACTTTTCTTGGAGATCTTTATCAACTCATTAAAAATTTGAAAAAACGCAAGGTTGAATTTGGACCTATGAAAACACAGGATTCAGCTTTTATATTGTTAAATGAAATTATGAATTTTCGAATTCGTATATTAGGTGAGAATGAAGATCATCCGCACATTGCTATGATCATAGGAAGTATGGGTGATTTGTGTGAAGACACACAACTATTCGTCAAAATGGTTTATTATAAGCTTACCGTTACCAAATTAGAATTGAGTAGTGGCTCCACAGAAATACTTGATCGATTATTTCAGTATATCGAAAAACTTTATTCTATATATGAGCAAACAAACGACTATGATAATGCACTTCAATGCCTTAAGCGAAAGCTTCTATTTGAAATGCAACATTATCCGTCACATCATATTAACATTGTTCGTACTCTTGCTCGAATGGGTTTTCTTTATAGAAAAATAGCGAATAATTCATATATGGCTTTCAAGTGTTTTAGTCAAGCGCTTACTCTTTATAAAATTGTTGAAAGAGAGGATGATACACAGGACATGGAAGATAATCTAACTGAGCAAGTTATGTGCGAACTCATGAATATGCGAAACTCCATATCATAGAACAGTTAATCTGACCACCGCAACATGATCTTCAAAGTAGATTGACTTGTTTCGAATTTTTCTAATTCTTATAAAATAGGCTCTGCTGCACTTCCAAAGTTGAGAAAATATCAAAAATAATTAGTATATTATTCCTAGCTAGCATTGTAGGTCAATGATTCGGACCGTTTCTTGCATATTGGATGGGAGTGGGTGGGTGTGGGTGTGAGTGTGGGTGTGGGTGGGTGTGAGTGTGGGTGTGGGTGAGATGGGGGGGTTTGAGGTGTGGGTGGGATGGGGTTTGAGGTGTGGGTGAGATCTTCTCTACCTTGATGCTAACACCCACACCCCACACCAACCCACCCACACCCACACCCCATACCCACACCCAACCCACACCAACCCACACCAACCCACACCCACACCCACACATACACCCACACCCACACCCCACCCTAATGGGTCTTCGAATTCAACATCTAGTTATTTATATTTTCCTAGCGACGTTATTATCGATTCCAATGATAATATCTATGTTACAGATACATTTAATTATCGCGTTCAGTTATGGACTAGTGGATCATCATCCGGCACAACAGTTGCTGGGACAGGTATGTAAATCAATTTCAAAAATAGAAATGACAAGCTGCTATACTTTTTTAGGTGTTTCTGGAAGTACCGATGATGCTTTAAGTATACTATATGGAGTAACACGTGATCCAACTGCTGACACACTCTATATATCAGATACAGGCAATCATCGTATAATGCGTTATCTTTCAGGTGCTTCATCGGGAACTGTTGGTGTAGGTGGGAATGGAGCTGGATTCAGTATAACACAATTGTCAAACCCAATAGGTCTATGTTTTGATTCAACAACCAATAGCCTTTTAATTGCTAATTATGGTGCTAATAATATTGTTCGTTGGATAATAGGTGCTCAGAATTGGACATTTGTTGCTGGTATTAAAAATGGATCAAGTGGCACTACATCAAATGAACTTAATCAACCAACTGATGTTACAATAGATCCTATGGGTAATATTTATGTTGTTGATATGGGTAATAGTCGTATACAATTTTTTTTATTACAACGAATCGAGTGGTACAACTATTGCTGGTGTGATAAGTTCAAATGGTAATAGTTCGATTTTACTTAATAATCCATATTCGATAGCACTTGATAATCAACTCAATTTATGTGTTGCTGATACATATAATCATAGAATACAAAAATTTTTTCGATATTAAAGATAAAACAAAACGTTTGGGAATATTAACTCTACCTCTTAGACATCAGAGTATATATTGTATTGTGTCAAATTCAAGGATTATTAGATTTATGCCTTACAATACTGATTGAATAAAGAAAAATTCACAACATCAAATACATGCACTAATGAGAGATTTAAATCAATGCGTTCTCTCTGTCTTTTATAGAGTTTGATATCAGCTGTATTGTAATGCTCATTTCAGTTTTTGATCGATGCCGAACACAATTTTGTCCTCTATCCTCGTTACTATTGCACCTAAACGAATAGTCTGTTCATTATCTGCTCATAACTTTCAAATTGGTTTGACTATCGAAGTCAATAAGAAAATATTCGTATTACTGATTGATAATTTCCAATTATACTTTGATCTATCAATAAAATGACTAGGTCATCCTCATATAATTTATATCGCATTTGATTGATCATATCCAATATTGCAGTTCAAATTGTGAACTACCTCTCAAAATTATTTTCTAATCAATACTAACAATGTGTCCTAAATTAATTTAGGATTAGAAGAACAAAGTAATTTTGAGTATCGTTTGCACAATTCAGTGCAAAATAAATCATTCTAATAGACTGTACTTAATCACTCTTTTTCTTCGTTTCATATAATCGAAACTTCACACAGCTGTTAAAACAGTACAATAGTTGGCTACCTAATACTTAACAAGAAGAAGAAAAAAATAAGGATACTATCACGAAAAATACTTTATGAGAGTCATTTATTTAATAATAATTGTTAAATAACAACTTTTTTGTTTCATAGTGGAATTTTAACCCTTTTAACTTTCAGCGAAACAATTTTTTTCTTATTATTCAATCAAAATTTTGTTCTTCTTCATAGCAAAATGAAAGAAAAATCATGCCTTTTTACACATCAAGGTTAACCAGGTGTATACTTTCTTATTGTGTTCTGCAATATTTGTAATCAGAACGATAAAAAAAATGCAGCATGAGAACACAAATGGGGTTTTATCTTTATCGAACTAACTAACATTATTATCAACATTCACATTCGAATAAGACAAAATCTATTTTAACCAATATGGCAACGAACAATGATATACAAATAAAAGTAGAAAATGAGGATTATTTACCTGAATATGATGATCATGTTCTTTTTATTCATATTAATCAATGGGAAAATCATTCAATTGCAAAAATTCAACTAGCAGCTCAACAAGCTCGAGATGATCTTCAAGACATTTTTGATAGAAAACGTAAAGAATTTACTAATTTATTAGATCAAATTAATCAAGAAACAAATACAAATGTAAATGAAAATATTAATATTTCAAAATGGAAACAACAATTAAATAAACTTCAACAAGATTTATCAAATCTACCGTCCGACATTTATTTAGAACATAACAAAGATGAATTTCCAATACATTTTATTAAACTTCATCACAATATTAACAATAATAATGAAATGAAACCAATAATTGAGGATCCAGTAATTATATAGGAGACTCTTTTTATCTGAAATATATATTTATTTTCATAGGATGAAGAAATTATAAATGTACCTGGCACTGCACCATTAGGATTAACTATGTTACATAATTTACCATTGGTTGAACAAAAACAAGTGTTAGGTGAACGATTATTTGTACTTGTTCAACAAATTGAACCAACACATACTGCGAAAATTACTGGAATGTTTATTGAATTAGAGACAAAACATATTTTAACATTAATTAAGACACAGGATATACTCAAAGAAAAAGTTTGATTTAAATAATTAGAAAAATTAATTACTAAAGTTTTTTTTAATTTTTTTATTTGTTTTAGATCCAAGAAGCACTTGATACGCTAAACGCTTATCAACACAAACCAAGTACTACGATTAAATCATCATGATATTGAACTGAACCTTTCAGCGAAATTGTCTCTTCATCAATCAACTTCTAAATGATCGAAAATTTTTTTCACAAGTGTTTATATAAACGATAATATTATACCGTAGTTGGTACATCTTATTATTGAAATTTTTCTCATGTATATGCTATTAAAATTGGTCTACTCACTCACTGTCAACTATAAATAAAATTGATTTTAGTTGAGAATCAATCTTTCTTTGTGTGTAATGTTTTTACCCAAAATGTTGATGCCATAAAGCATTGACTTTATCGAGCCATAAAAACTTTTAAGAGAAGGACGAGAAAAAAGTTTTTTTTTTATATTTGAGTAATATCTCTGGCATTATGCAAGAAAATAATATTCATATTGATTCATGAAAATGTTAGGAATCTTATCAATACAACAAATATTATTGCGCAACTTCTATCATATTAAAATAATAAAGAGGTTTTGTACCAAACATAGAGTAGATGTGAGATAGCTCTTGAATTAAACAGTTATCAATCAAGCACTATGATTGCTGACTAAGAAAATCTTATAACTATCTAATGCCAATCTTTGAAATTTGCTTAGGTTCAGTTTATAAGTAAATACCTATTCATAATCATGGTATGAGTGAATATGTATGACGATGTGTAATTAAAATCGTCATTTCATTTACAAAGACTAATAGATCACTTTGCTTTGAAGTAAAGCTGTTATATTAAGAATTTATAAATCAGACAACATGCAGTTTCATGCATGGAAAGTCCTTCCTACTGATAAAATACTACGTGAAGCATCAGTATGCAGTAATGAACTGGGTGTACATGCGTTCAAAATACATTTGTATAAAAATTTCTGCAGAACTCATTTAAACTATAAGGAAATCTAATTATGTCATTAAACAGAGATCGTCAAGTTATGCATGAAACACCAAAGCAAAACAATTTTGAACCTTAGTATTACGAGGGAGGTACTCAAAGTGATTCATCGCTTTTAAAGCCCATACTTTGGGCACATCAACGGAATATCTAGACTAGAATAATCCTAAAAATATTTGGCCCCATGGCCCTTTTGAGTTGAGATATTAAATTTTCAAGTTTTCGCAGATGGGAAGAATTTCGATCCTTTATTCCAATAAATCCGAACACAAAAATGTTCTGTTATCTAGAAATTTCATAATAAACTCGCTGTTTCGTCAGCAAATTACTGTGAAATTTAAAGATTTTACCTCTTTTCGGTAAGTCACAACGTTGTTTCTGTAATATCAGCCATCAGCACAGAGGCAACAGTCCACGAACGACAAATAGTGGATGCATATTAGAGACATTCTTTAGTGTTCTTTCAAGAGTGCTGAAAAGAAATTATATGATATGAAGGATGCATTCTGTGATGCGACACTGTTAATCGAACGAAGCATTCTTCATGCAATAGCATGTTCTTTACAATTTTGTCAACCAAAAATATGAGTCATTTTGGAAGAATCGCGAAACTACTATTGGATCGAGTTAATGAACGTGAAGAAACGGATCGTCGATCATCGAGAGCAAGTTCACTTGAAGAACAAATTGTACGCTTCTTGCTCGAAGTAATCGAAAACTTTCATAAGTGTGTGTGGATGTGGGTGTGAGTGTGTGTGGGTGCGTGTGGGGTGTAGGTATGGGTGTCGGTGGGCGAGATCCAATACACAACACCCACACCCACACCCTTCTCTTTAACTTTGATTCCGACTCCGAAAAACTCTGAACATTGTTCGTGTAGGCTAGCTATAGCTTATGTACATGGCTATATTATGGAATACAAATAAATAGCTGCTCTGATTGTCAGAGAAGAAAATGTAGCTGATTGATTTCAATTTTTTTCTGAATCAAAAATACTTGAAACGAGTCGTTAAGTCTTGTGACGAGAAGAAATTATAAATTTAATTAAGAAAGAAGATGATTCTGTTAAATTAGTTCCAAACCATAAAGTGAAATAAAAGTAAGTTTTGGGATAATTTCCACAAAATTTCATCAACAAGGACTTCTTAAAAAGTGTAGATGTATTGAAAGAAAATGTTCAGATCACGAAGACACCAGTAAAAATATTAAATATTAGTCTAGCTGAATTTTGTCAAGACAATCAGGATATCAGGGTAGATGTTGATATGTTGTCTCTCCAGACATATCCACATCCACACCCACACCGATACTCACGCCTTATATGAGGCTAGTAATATGTCAATGAGCAGCGTTACTTGAAATTGATGCATAGGTATCCTATATTACACATTGAAAAGTAATGTGCTAGTAACAAGAGAACTACCTTAGATACCTAACTAGATTTTCACCCATTTATGCTTCATTTGCAAGAATGTATTGAGATTGAAAAGAGCCTTGATGGTTTGTACTTTATGGTCTATTGGTGAAGAATGTTTGTGTAGATCTGGATGTTTTGAAAGCTGAACCTCTCACACCCGCACCCTTCAAAGATATTTAAACTTGCCTATCTCATTCTAACTTGGTATGACAGAAAAAGATAAATGATTACTGTTTAGTCGATCTTTCGAATAAGAATTCTTGAATATGTTGCTTATATTTATATGACATAACATTGTCTATGTATCGATCAAAGTTGTGAAGTGTCACGCGGTAACGGTGATCCAACCGATGGCGCCTTCATTCATCTACGACTTGCGTGGTGTGCGTCGATGTTTTGGTTTCTTTTTTAAATGACGTTCGAGCTACATTCACAGGAACCCCGTCAACCATGCCCACACTAACACTCACGTTCGCACTTATACGTAGTTTCACACTTAAAAATATATGCTTTTCATCACACATTCAGACAGAACCACAGCCTAAATACGCCTGCACCCGGCGTGTGTTGCTCGAAATGAAAAGAAAAAAGTCATTTGGCTGAAAAGAGAGAAACGTAAGTATGCCAGTGATCACAAAAGGAGAATTTTCTTGGGGCACATAGCGAAATGTGCTAACATCAATGGAAAGCTAAAAAAATTCTCTTCAAATTTAAGAAAAAATTTATTACGGACACTATTTATCGGTCTCTTCCACTTTCAGTTCATAGAGGATATATTAAAGTTCTGTTTATAACACAGTATGATATATAGTACCAGATAATGTTTTAAAGAACAATTTTGTTGGACGCACCATGCTTACACACTTTCTTGCCAAATACAATGATTTCGTGTAATGCATAAAATTCTACTAATGAATATCCGAGGAGAACGAATGGTGTCATTATAAAATGAAACAAATTTCGTAGAATAAAAATGCATTCTTTAACATTTAACAGCTTAGTAATAAAGCCATCGATAATAAATGCAATCAAAAATGTTAACATTTGTAATCCTAACTGACCATACATTACATAACTGACAGCCAGTGGAACATTTTTGACAAGCAAAAACATAGACAACATCGACGTCAATCCAAACAAGCCACCGGTACACAAGAGAATCCCATAATAAACAATAAAGCATGTACCCCATGAAATAGCGGCTTTTAGTGGCATTCGTTTCGATTTAATTATGAAGTAATGAAAGACTTCAGCTGCTCCAATAGTCCATCGACGAGCTTGTCTTGCCCACTCTATAATTTCTTTTTCTATTGTTTCTCCACAGGTGGGTCCGCTTAGCACTGGTACAGGTATCATCGATATTCTTAACCGCTCTCCTGTTACTCCCATCCATCGAATGAGGCAGATAATATCATCCATCTGATAGGCTGGATGTACATAATTTCCCTTTTTTGCAAGACTTAGTGAAAATGAGAAAATACTCATCGTATTAATATTAAATGGAATTAATGCTCCTAGCATAAGAAAGCTTCTCAGTAAACCCGTGACACGAGTAACGAATGACAATCCATCCAGTTTCCAGTTGTAAAACAAGGGTGATTGATAGATTGTAGATAATGCCGGCCGGTTTTCTTTGACGTACTTGTAGGTCAGTGCAGCAATGTATTGAGGCGAAAATTTAGAGTCGGCATCACACGTTGTCACCAGTATGTTGTCAGTATCATCGTTATTGATCGACATTTTTTCAACAGCCATACGAAGACCAAAGTTTGCATTTGAACACTTTCCTGGTATTTCATTTGGCAAACCAAACGGATGTATGGTGAATATCATTCGTTCGAATCCACAATTTCTAAATTTCGCTTCCAATATTCGGCATTTTTCTTCTTTATCTGGTGTTCGCTGTTCAAATGAGATAACCATTGTTATGCGATGCACTTCTGTTTGATCTGCTAATGTTTGAACACTTTTTGCTATGAGTTCCACTGGTTCCTTGTAACAACTGATTGCGACAATGTGGCGGATGGGTATTTTTTCTTGACCAGTATGACTTTCAGTAAAATTTCGAGAACAATTTATATACAAGATAAGAGCATTTTTCAGAGCGAGTATCGCAATGACTACAAAGTAGAAGAAAAACATCTGAAATAGTTTGTTGAAAAAGCAGTGCACGATGTGCTCTTACTCAGCCACATAAAAACAAAGACACCTTGTATAGACGGTAGAATGATGTATGCAAGCCTATTGGAAACAAATGGTATCCAAAATGGAAATGGTACAACTACCCAAACTAGGACATTGAACATCAAATTCCAACGGAATCGTTGGCTGCCCTTTTTCATTTCACGATGATCACTTAAACCCGTCTCTATGACTATATGCTGTGATGCACCTGAAATGACGATAGCACCATCAGGATTATTGCCGTCGTCAGGTTGGCCATTTGGCAACGATGTGACACGTGTGAACGTTGGTCTTGCTAATATTTCACCCACAATCTGTGCTTCTTTCTCAGATTGATCGATTTTCTGTTCTCCTTTCGATGAGATTCGACGAAGAAAATTCTTTTTTCGCTCTTGATTAGATTTGTTCGTTGGTTCGAAGCGTTCATATGCTGGTATTATTTTCTTCTTTTCCAGGCTCACTTCACCTACATACTCACAGTTTTGAAAATTGGGATCACTGAAAAAGCGTACAAATTTTGGTCTGGTTGCTGTCAT